CCAGAAGCTCCGCCGCGAGGTCGAGAAGGCCAAGCGAGCCCTGTCCACGCAGCACCAAGTCAAGGTATAGCATTTTACAGTTTCATGTACAATTAATGCTCAGGTCGAGGTCGAGGCCATGTTCGACGGAGAAGATTTCTCGGAAACGCTCACTCGTGCCAAGTTCGAAGAGCTGAACATGGATCTCTTCCGCGCCACCCTCAAGCCGGTCCAGAAGGTTCTCGAGGATTCCGATCTGAAGAAGACTGACGTCCACGAGATTGTCCTCGTCGGAGGCTCTACAAGAATCCCCAAGGTCCAGCAGCTCATCAAGGAATTCTTCAACGGCAAGGAGCCATCGCGTGGCATCAATCCTGATGAGGCCGTCGCCTATGGTGCTGCCGTTCAAGGAGGTGTTATTGCTGGAGACGTGAGTTTATTTCAAGCCTTCTGATTTTATGTATTGTTTAGAGCGGAACCGGCGACATTGTGCTGCTCGACGTCAACCCGCTCACCATGGGTATCGAGACCGTTGGAGGAGTGATGACGAAGCTGATCCCCAGGAACACTGGTATAACTCGGTTTAAAAGTAAAATTGTTTTGCTTAGTTATCCCGACCAAGAAGAGCCAGGTCTTCTCCACGGCCGCCGACAATCAGAACACTGTCACCATCCGCGTCTTCGAAGGTGAACGCCCGATGACCAAGGACAACCACGAGCTCGGAAAGTTCGACCTCACTGGCATCCCTCCGGCCCAGCGCGGAATCCCCCAGATTGAGGTTTGTATTTTTGCCTGCCCTCTAATGATTTGTGTCTTAGGTTACCTTCGAAATTGACGTCAACGGCATTCTCCACGTCACCGCTGAAGACAAGGGCACTGGCAACAAGAACAAGATCACCATCACCAATGATGCCAACAGGTAAAGCTTTTACTTTGTTTGTCTAATTTTCTTTTTGATTAGGTTGTCGCCCGAAGACATTGAGCGCATGATCAATGATGCCGAGAAGTTCGCCGATGAGGACAAGAAGCTGAAGGAGCAGGTCGAAGCCCGCAACGAGCTCGAGTCGTACGCCTACAGCCTGAAGAACCAGATCGGCGACAAGGAAAAGCTCGGCGGCAAGCTTGACGATGACGACAAGAAGACGATCGAGACTGCCGTCGACGAGGCCATCTCATGGCTCGACGACAACAAGGAGGCTGGCGTCGAGGAGCTGAAGGAGAAGAAGACCGAGCTCGAGGGCAAGGTGCATCCGATCGTCTCCAAGCTGTACAAGGACGGCGAGGGTGGCGGTGCTGAAGCTGGCGGAGAAGCCGAAGAGAAGGATGAAAAGGACGAGTTGTAGTTTGCTGTGATTCCATTCTGTGTCTGTTTCCCCCTCGCACTACTTCTCTCGCTCTGGGTGTGCGCCACTTCGGTGGTGGCTTTTGAAGGGTATTTTTTTTGTTTGTGTTTGGGCCCTTTGTTGGCCATTTCGTTTCTAGATAATAAATTTTTCTATGGGTCATCGAATGTGAAATGCAACTTTATTGGAAACGGACAATGAACCCGTATGACAAAGAAGTAATGTTCGGTATTGCTGGGGTAGGAGGGCTTTCAGAAATCATGCTGTCGGTGTTTTCTAGATCTCTCCTTGGCCTGGTCGTATTTTGACTAGCTTTTGTGAAAACGATTGGGGGATCATGTTACCACGCAATAATATCCCCAATACATAATGTTGAAAATGATAAAGGTGGCTGGGAACACCCATCGGCTCTTCTGGTCGATCTTCTTCGCGCGATTCCGCCCGGCCATCTTCCTGAAAAGTTGTCGTTTCAAAGGTTGCTACCCTCCTAGCGATTCTAGCACACGGCACTCGTTTGTCAATAGCCAGCCTGCTATGAAAAAAGCGAAGGGGTTATTCCTTGGGGACAAGCAAACCGAAAAAGAATATAATAAGCCTCAGCGGATCGGGGGGCCAATGATAAAATTCTAATAAAGTGAGGAGCTTCGAAAAAGCTAGCACGGCCAGGGCACCTGTCATGGGTTATTAAGCGGCTCAGTTGGATATTGGGCAACAGGCTGGGACGCCTGCAAATAGACGGCTGCTTTCCAAGATGAAAATCATAATTTTTAGGGCGCTGATGCGTGATTGGGGCCCCTCTAAAACGTACTTGTGTTTTTGGAGCTGTTTGATGGTGTTTGTCCATTTGTCGCCTTTCTTTTCCTTGTTGGGCTCCTTGTTTTCGGCCGTCGAGCCGTAGGTTGTTGCTGAAATTCAGGGGTAATCTTTGATACCGTAAAAGATAGGATAATCAAGGTAAAACCAACATTTTGAGTTGTTTGCTGTCAGCCCGTTGTGTGCAGCGACGCCGTTTGGGACAAGACGGCTCCAGACGGATGGTGATCGCTTGCAAAGTTGGCCAGTTGAGTCGTCAAACGCCGCCCAATTTGCTAATCGTTCGGCCTGGAATATTACTGTATTATTTATGCTTTAATATGTATAATAAATCTAATAAACTAACCTTTTCGGCCTCCTTATCCTTCCACAACTCATTGGCCGCAGTTCGTGGGGAATCAATGTTATTCTCAGCCACCTAAACTTCATCGGCTGCCTTTTTCAACGATCTTGGATAATATTTTGGTTAGTACAACGTAGTCACAAACGATAGTATCATTTTTACGGCCATAAAAAGCCGAATTTTGTGAATGGTGGTCTAAAGTGCTCCCAAAAGATGCATAAAGAAACGGACATTCGTGCTGGCACTGTAGGAGCGAGGGCGATTCTCGATGGACGGCGGGGAGAGACCTTCCGCTGGATTTGAGGAGACCGAGCTTCTGGCCTTGGCGTCGAGGAATGGCCAAAGTGGATGGAGGAGGCTGAGCTTCAGCCCGAACTGTCGTGCCTGTAGTGTTGGGGGGAAAGTGGTGCCTAATAATCGCGACCTTCAAACCAAAATAGCTAAATTTATAGCTAATCGTTTTGCATTAATCTAATATCGGCTAGGTGATGATGAATGCACAACAAAATTATCCAGACTCCAGCCGTACCCAATCAACGAAAAAAAATGGGCTATTCTCGAGAAATGAGTTGATACCGGTGCATCCGGGTGCTGTGGGGTGTTGCAACCATCATCCACATCAGAAGAGAAATTCGAATAGTGAGACATCGAGCGGAGTCGGATTTGGTTTCCGAAATCTGGCTCGGGCTCGGCCTGGAACCACCCGCGTGCGGTTAGCGGATTTAGCACATGCTTTCGTTTTTCATTAGTTTTCGCGCAGCAAATTAGATGGATGCGAGCTTTTTCTTAAGTTATGACAAAGCGCAGACGCTATATTACTTGGTAAAAACTCTATCAAATTATAGCTAAAAATATTTAGTAAAATATGTCCTTTCTAGCTTTTAGAATCGAATTTTCAAACAGGTGCAGTAGTTTGGCAAGAAATTAGAAGCACCCCATTGTCAGAAAAATAAGAGTGAATAGTTATGCAGTGAAATTAAGTGATTTCGCACAACCAACCTCGACAAGCTGTTGATGATGCTCCCGAGTGCTGCCCTTGAACCGTCCGATCAGGTCGCGGGCCTTGTTGCTGATGTTCGATGCCGAGAGCTCTTTCTGCGTCTTACCAGCCGCCGTCTTCTCCATCACCGACTCCAGGCTGGAGGCCATCACTAAACATCAAAATTAGACGGCTTCAACTCTCTGACGACATCTCCGAAATCCACCGGGGGGCTCCGCTGCATTTGGCTAAGCAACGGCAAAAATTCTGGATGTCCCAGCAAGAAAATTGTGGATTTTACCATGAAACTATCCTTCTTTCTAGCAAAATTCGAAATTCCACAACAATCCCCTGCACATAAAGCACGGCAAGCGGAGAGCGTGAATATGTGGGCCCGGATTTCAGATATATCGTCAATTTTTCATTTTAAAATGCATTAGTTCAGGGGAAATGTTTGGAGGAGGATAGCGCACGACATTCGGGCTAAAGGGCTCTTCCAAGAAGCATGGTTATAGACAGGTTATGACAGTTCAGAGAAAGGGGGAAATTGAAAGCTGGGCTGCTTTGAGGCAAGCTTGGCTTGTTTAGCTTCTCCAGGCAATAGTGGGGGTTTCTCGAAAAACTTGCGCTCCGTTTTCTGCTGTTTCGCCATTTTCGAGTAGGCTGCAAATAGGGAAGCGGGTTGAGTTTCATTTTTAATGGTCTTTTAGGTTGTTAAATTGGTCTTGCTTTAAAAACGGACACAGCTAATTGTATATTTTAAATCGATCTAATACACATATTAATTTTTGTGAGCATTAAGCCGTGCTACATGAAAATTACCGGAAAAGCATGCGTTTTGATGCGGACAGGATAGTATTGTAATTTTGAGTGAAGCGGAGTCCTCCAAAAGCCAGGTAAGATATATTGGTACGTGACGATACGGTAGACGATACAGGACTGGGCTTCCGGTGACAGACGGACAGTTTTGGGGGATGGATGGATGAGGCGAGGATCGTTTTTAGAAACATTAAAATTTGCGAAATTCGATGCATCCGCGCCCCAACCCTTTGAAGATCGAGGGACCAGTATTTGACACTATCCTTACCGATATCGGCATCCGTGCGGTGCCATTTTCGCCCTATAGACGAACATAATTTAATAGCTTTAATATATTGTGGCAATCGGGGGTTAGGGAATACGAAAACGGTGATTTTAAGAGTAACATTTAGATGTAGTTTTGTGCAAAACGTCGATGGAAATGGGCATGGGCTATCATTTTTTACTTAGCTTTTAGCTATACAAAAGCTTCAAACATAGAAGCTAAACTTTATTTTCAATGCCAAACACAAAAATCAGCTCCATGCCCAGTTCCGGGACGGGTGCACCGGTAGACAAAGACTCGCTGTGAGTGTAAAAATCAAAAACAATTTCCTTTTTCGAATGTTCTACGGATTTCTAATTCGACCATAACAATCCAATCTAGCCGAGAGAGGCGCATTCCGGACCCTCCGTTGGTTACGCCGAGAAAATGTCAAAGGAAAAACTTTTTACGGCAGCGTTACACTTTCCCCTCGGCTTACCAAATTGGAAAGGGCTTCGCGCTTGATAACGGCTTGTTTATGGGGGGATTTTAAGGATGATGGGCCAAAATTTTCCGGGGTGTTACCTTGACGTTGAGCATAGTTGACGATGGTGAACTCGATCATGACGCCGAACACGAACCTTAATGCAAATTTAGTAAGACCAAAAAGGGGAAGACTTACATCATACAAGCGCCCATCCAAACGTCAATAGCTTTCATGTAAGACACCTGAAATTAAAGTTTTGAGTATGATTTTGAGAACATCACCTCCGGCAAAGCCAAGCGAGCCGCATTTGCTTGGGTTGAAAGTGTTAGCAAAGTTGTAATGGCCAACGAAACTCGTGCTGGCACCGCTTCGACGTCTAGCCAGAAGGAAAACCTAAAATATAACTATAAAACTAGCAAAATCCTGAAATAGACATAAGGATGCCGAGAAAGTGGCTGTCGGGACCATAAAACCCAGCTAATCTGCCTTATTTTCTCCCAAAAAGGCATAAAATAAGTCGAAACCCCTCGATCCTCCAAAACTTCAGAAGAAAATTACTTTTATAAAGCTTTTTGGCTTATTTTAGGCAAAAACAAACCCAACACAAGCATTTTCAAGCAAAAAGCAAAAAATCTGCCCCATGCCAGGCTCGAACTGGCGACCTCGGCATATCTTACATACTATAAGTACCACGCGCTAACCGACTGCGCCAATGGGGCAACGGGGAGAGGGCGCCGACTTGCCATGATATGACTACGATCAGAGTCGTGGGCACGTAGGACTGCATCAGGTGGTGAGTGATTTCGCGTTGCACGGCAAATTCAGCGGTAACGCATGACCAGGTGCCTAAAAAATAGTATATTGGCATTGCTAGTTATAGGCCTAGTATTTTGACCACGTTTGAGGGCTCAAAAAGCCTGTAAAATAACCCCAAATCGCTATTTTTTCGCCACGTTTTGAAGGAATATTTGCTTGGTTCGAATGCTCTAAATACAAGATTGAAAGTAATTTAAAAATCATATTGATTAGCTTAGAACTATGGGCTCTTTTTCTATTAGAAAACCTAGCGAAAAAGATAAGTTTGGCAGCTAAATTATCGATTTTGTTTCTTAAAGCGAAAAGGCGCTAGAATAGGTCGCAAACGCTATTCAAAAGGGTTTGCAATAGTCGGTTAGAGTTATGCATCATATTATAGCAAAGTACATTTATACATATGGTGAAAAGTTTATTAAAAAAAGTTAATTTAAGAAATGTGCCTCGGGCCACGCCGAATTTTTGACGATTTAGTAAAGGCCGCTGAATATATTTCGCATACCATCTTATACGCTTATTTCTATAGTTCTTTCGCAAAGTTTTTGGTTTCCCGGCTAAAAATCGATAAAAAGATACCTGTACTATAATTCCCATCGCAAAACCCTGGGTACAAATCGTTGATTCTCATGTCGGACATTGCAATCCCGGGGTTTCGTGTGATCGGATCTGTGTTGATCCATTCGATTTGTAATTGATCGGTTGTGTAGGCGTCTGAAATATAAATTATTCGTAATTTATTTATTTTATTTTTTTATTAGAATTTGTAGCTTTCCCCGTTTTGCTCGACGGGAAGTTTAATTGGGCGCGCTTATGACCGGGCGAACGACCCCTTGCGAGGCGGGGAGGGTAAGACCCTTTTCCGTGCCCCTTCCCCGTGCTTCCGTAGCGCAGTAGGCAGCGCGTCAGTCTCATAATCTGAAGGTCGTGAGTTCGAGCCTCACCGGGAGCAATTCTTTTGCTTTTTGGCCGGTTCTTTTGGATTTGATAGCCGATCACTCCCAGTGATAATTTAGGTATTTTGCACACGTACAACTCAGTATCCGGAGCTGACATTGCTGCGAGTCCAGAGGCCATTTTTGAAGTTTCAGGGTGCATAATACGATCTAAATGTTCTATTTTTATTCCAGTGAGGGCCAACCCACCATACTGACTCGTGTGTCATACAAAATACTCCCATCCGGCTCAACCCATACAAGAAAATTGGGCTGGGTGACCTGAGAAATAAAAATAGGAAGAGTTATAAATTTTACCTCGTGGAATTCGGCTATGCGAGCGTTTGCAAAATAGACATCTGGATGCCAGATCTTCTCCAGGATGCCCTTGTCACGAATCAATACCCGTCTAAAATTCGTTTTAAATAGCGTTTGCCAGAAAACGATACTTTGTTTCATTGTGAGCAAGGCGAGGGTCTTTCCAGAATTGCTGGAAATAGACGTCTAATTGGAAATCCTGAAAAATTCGAGAGTTATACTCCATTAATGCCTGCGATACCATGGTTTGTGTCCGAAATGACGACATCCCCTCTATGTACATTGCCAGGCGGACGACCGTTGGTTGATCTGAAGTGGTCGTTTTGAAGCCATAACCGACAGCACGATTCCCAGGCAAGACCGAATTGAACCAAGTGGGGCACACGTTTTGTGGAAAAAAGACAAGAAAATACGGCAACTGCAAATTCATGCCTCAATTGTAACGAAATCGAAAGTGTTTGGACTTCAGTGTAATTTCCAATTCTAAATTTCAAAAATCTCACCAAATAAAATTTGGTAAATTAATTTTCAATTCGGCTTTGCATGGGGACAGAGATAGCAGTTGAGAGGTGGGAGGAGTTGGAGAGCTCTTTTGGAATTATTGTATTGGCGGATTAGTTTGAAACATCGTTCCAAAGATGAAGATTCCATTAAGATCCGTCTTTAAAATAATCCCAGAATATTCTTAGCCAAAAACACAGTCGGTAGAAGTGCTGCCTGTAGCGGACAAAGGACATGAAAATCGCCCGAAGTAGGGGGGCTATTCTCATACTAGCGAAGCTACACATATCGGTTCTATACCGGTAACGGGGTCCTTAAAAAAAATAAGGGTCCTTAATAAAAATAAGGGTCCTTAAAAAAAATAAGGGTCCTTAAAAAAAATAAGGGTCCTTAATAAAAATAAGGGTCCTTAAAAAAAATAAGGGTCCTTAGAATTTCAGGTTAAGGACCCCTGTTCCGACAGGCGTCCTTAAAATAGATGCTATTATTAAGGACCCCGATTCCGGCAACTCCCGAAAATACAGTATTTTCGCCGTTTTTGCACAGATTGTGCCTCGTTTAGCTATTTAAATTACGCGACTCTCTTACACACAGTTTGTGCCTAAAAATAAGGCTTCGTGCCACCCGGGGCCTAGTCGCTTCGGATGGGCGCGAGCTCGTACAGGGTTTCGAAATCGGGGCGCCCGAGGAGCGCGAAGCGCCCAGGCGCCCCGATTTCGGAAGAGTGGAGCGGCAGCCCATCCGAAGCGACGGCCCGCCTTGCCTGACACGCCATAAGCCTGAAATCGTGCTCATCCCCACAGAAATTTCCACTCAACCCGACGTGCTAGGTTTTTTAGCCAGGGACAATTTGACGCTTATGGCGTGTCAGGCAAGGTGGGCCGTCGCTTCGGATGGGCTGCCGCTCCACTCTTCCGAAATGGGGGCGCCCCCGTCCGCTTCGCCGGCCTTGGCGCCCCCGATTTCGAAACCCTGTACGAGCTCGCGCCCATCCGAAGCGACCAGGCCCCGGGTGGCACGAAGCCTTATTTTTAGGCACAAACTGTGTGTAAGAGAGTCGCGTAATTTAAATAGCTAAACGAGGCACAATCTGTGCAAAAACGGCGAAAATACTGTATTTTCGGGAGTTGCCGGAATCGGGGTCCTTAAAAATAGCATCTATTTTAAGGACCCCTGTCGGAACAGGGGTCCTTAACCTGAAATTCTAAGGACCCTTATTTTAAGGACCCTATTTTATTAAGGACCCTTATTTTTTAAGGACCCTTATTTTTAAGGACCCTTATTTTTTTTAAGGACCCTTATTTTTTTTAAGGACCCCGTTACCGGTATAGAGCCCACCTATCCGCATTAAGTCAATATATCGCTGACAAGCGAGATGCTCATCTCTGTCTCTCTCTCTCTCTCTCTCTCTTTCTCTCGCTTTCTCGCCTCGTTCACTTCACACTTACCGCTGCTTTTCAGCACGCCTCGTCGCTGACCTGATCAATCGGTCCGATTTATATTTGGCTTTTAAAAATAGTTTTTTAGGATAAGCGCAACAGAATTGGCCTACTAAATAGCACCTACTAACCAAGAGTTAAATAAAACTAGAGAATTTTTAAAGCCTCTGAAAATGGCTCACTTTCGTCCTGGACGGGCGGGGAGTGCTTGTCGTATACTTCTCGGCCTGCGTTCAACATCTCGTCCATATAAAGTGGTATCGGCTCGGATCTGGTTGCCTCGACTGCCCAGATCCTAAAAGGAAATACCCTTAGGTTATGCTTAGGCCTGCTTCTGCAGTGCTTTTCCGACTGTTTTTGCCCGCCACCCACTATCGCGCCCTATCGAGTTTTGTCAGTTGACAGCCGCCATTCCCGGCCCCAATCCTTATCAACCTCCAGAGCGCATCACCCCGCGCTGCTTCCGTAGCGCAGTAGGCAGCGCGTCAGTCTCATAATCTGAAGGTCGTGAGTTCGAGCCTCACCGGGAGCAATTGTTTTGCTTTTTGACCCCAGATCCCCCAAATTTGATTTGAAAGGGTCTCTCAAGTTTCAATATGTTTTTGCGCTCACCTGCATAGGAACAGGAGCATCTCTATAACAGCCATCTCGCATATCATCGCAATCGCATTTTAAAACGCAAAATCTGAACGTATCAAGACGTATGGGGCCAAGTGAGGTTCAAAATGAAGAACTTGACAAAAATTGAGTCAAGTAGGAATTTTCTGCAGAAACCCATAAATTTAGGGGCAGTAAGGAAGTCTTCACGGCATACTAAACAAAGCCCCATTTCAGAAGAAGCCTTCCCCCTCCTCCCCATAGAGTGTAACCAATTCCCAGGTCGTCGGTCTTTCAACGCTAAATTGGATTTTAAAGCGATGAGAAATCATGGCGAACGGCTGAAAATTTTGTTTGGAAAGGGGGCTATGGATCGGATACGACGCCCGTCACAACACCCAATTTTCCACGAATTCTCGTGGCCCCTGAGGCGAGGAGGGCGAAATGGAGGGAAGGGGAAATTCCCGGCGACAATGCCCATTCTTCGACAATCGTCACCGAGTAGTGGCTCGGAAAAAAAACGGACGAGGGGGCAGGATCCAGGGAAAAGTTTTAAGCGCGTCCCGTGTAGCGCTTCTTCCTTGTTCTGCTAAGGCAAAGAAGGGCCAGGAAGTAAACAACGAAATGACCCGCGGGGTGGGTGGGAAAGAAGATTCTAGCTTTTAGTCTGGAATTATTTATTGGCATTTACGCGTTGGGTACGTACTAGTACGGAATAAGTAAAAATTTAGAAAAACGACAGTTTAAATAGGTAGTTTTCTTACTCGTGTAAAAATACTTGAAGTCAACTTGAAAAAGGACTGCAGTTGCAGTTACAGATCTTGTTTATTGCCCCGAGTTACCTGATTTCATTACCTGGTTAAGAAACCTAACGAGAAGCTACAAGGAAAATTTCTCAAGTCAATTTTTTAGTCAGCAAAAAACGGAAGCTCCTTTACTATTAGACTACTATTAGAGCAATTTCCCGACTTCATCGTCCCTTTAAAAACCGTGGGAGCGTATATAATCAATTATTTGGCGCCAATGGGTGAAGGAGGAACGTTTTTTAGTACGCTAGCACCCAATCTGTGTTTAGGAGCCTGGAAGTGGTCAAAAATCTCCAGGAACCATTATCGAAGAAGCCCCCAAAACCCTGGAAGGAGTAGGGGCCGATTTCCGGCAATTCACCACACACATTTTGGCAGAATAGCGAAGATATAGAGCCCAGAAGTAGGGAAGAAAAAGTTTTGAAAACAGAGAATTATTAGGTACGTAGGAAAGTGCCGGCGCCAAAAAAAACCGCCCAGTCAATTCTGCTATTTTCTGCTGTCATGCCTGCTGTGGAGGGCGACATTGGTTCGTTGGGTATTCCTGCGTCGCCATCTCCGCCAAATACCCCCGGCACCTTTCAATAATGCGCCATTTCCGTTTGGGGTCAACCCAGTGGAAAGTTCGCAACAGAACGTCGAGAATTTAGAACTTTCGAAATCGCTAGAAAAACTCACTAGGCTTCAAAATTTTCTTAATACATTTTTCGGGATGTGCTATCAGCATATCGATTTTCCTAAGGTCGAAAATCATCCTGCCTAAATTTATAAGGCCTGAATCCACATCGAAACCACATTTTTTCGGAATTTATAATGCCGAAATTTCACTTTGCCGAAATACAGAACTTTGGAATTTGAATATACTACTTTATATAAAAAATAGTGTCTGTGTGTGTGTGTGTGTGTGTGCATTTGCATGCAGCTTCCGTCAGCGTGTTCCAGTAGTATCTCAAGAGAGGAAGTACTTAGGGGTATGTATGGATACGTCATTAGGTGCGTAATAGGCTGGAGATGACTGCACACATATCAGATCTTACACAATATGATGTTTTCGACATTAAAATTCAGTTTTTCATGGAAAATCGGACACCCCAATTTGTTAGGATCAAATTAGCATGCACCGGAAGTCGCGGTAGCCTATATAAAGGGACGGCAAGAGCATTTTTCATTTTCGTCATCCGAATTCGGAAAGAAGAATATCATTGTAGAAGATTGCATGTCATCCCGCCTATTTGCATCTCGCCTACTGCTATTTCGCCTCCTCTTATTTCGCCTACATCCCATTCCGCCTACATCTTATTTCGCCTACATCTTATTTCGCCTACCCTTTATCTCGCCTTACATCTTATTTCGCCTACCATTCATTTCGCCTATTTTTCATACTACCTGTTTTTGCTCATAAAACGTTAGTGGAGCTTCGGTATATAGTATCTTCCATGATATAAAAGCTGGACTGCCTTTTAGTTAAGCACTGCGCTGAAACAAGCCGGGTTTGTCTTTTCTCCTGACAATTCCAAATATGCTGTTCGTTTTTGTTTAACAGCATTAAACGATCCATAATTGGGTACGACAAATACCTTGGCACAAAGTAGGTAGTCTATAGAGCGCATTCAGAAAGAGCTCAAAATCTATCTAGGATTTTCAGCATGGAAAATACGATATACTGAAGTTGTATTAATGCTTGATGCGCAAATAAAGGTAATAGGAAAAATAGGCGAAATGAAAGGTAGGCGAAATAAGGTGTAGGCGAGATAAAGGGTAGGCGAAATAAGATGTAGGCGAAATAAGATGTAGGCGAATTAAGATGTAGGCGGAATGGGATGTAGGCGAAATAAGAGGAGGCGAAATAGCAGTAGGCGAGATGCAAATAGGCGGAATCAAGTTTTCCCTTGTAGAAGACGGGGCCAGGGTTGAAAAGCCGCGAAGCGGTTTTTCAACCCTGGTGTTGACATTATTTGTTGAGGAATTAGAGGATTTCACCGGAGATATTTATAAGCTTTTAGATTTCTATAAACTTTCGACACTATGACTTTCGACAACAGAAAATTTCGGCGTTATGGTTTTTGGCAATGTGAAGTTTCAGCCGGCTCAAAGTTCGATATTATGAATTTCCTATTATTAATTTCACATGCTAGCGGTCATTTAGAATCAGCAAAAAATCACAGGCCCCAAAAGGCTCCAAATATATTTTTTTTTGAAGCCTCGGAGCTTTATAGACCCACTGCAAATACTGCGATGCGATTCCAATATCTTATACCCAGCTCCCAGAATCCCCAAAAAATATTTGCCCGAAGCGGCGGGGTCCGATATGAACCTCTAGATGTTCATCGAGCACATCCCACCTCATTCCATATCAACCCCGAATCGGCGATGCTCTCCGAATTATACGGTGAACGCGCCGAGAGAAGCTTGGCGGAATAATCACCGTTTTAAAGAAGCAGTTAATTAAGGTTGGGAGGCGAACGGGTAAGTGCAATGCTGCTAGATGTTTTCATGCGGCAACCCGGATTTTAGGACGTGTAAGGAGGGTGGGGTGGCAAACAAAATTGTTATTCTCAGAGTTGACGTGGGGGTGGTTCCTAGACAATGTCAGGGATTTGTTAGGGACTTTACGGGGCTTTTGTATGCAAATCAGCAAGAATAAAAAACTTATAAGAAGAACAGGGAGAAAAGCAGAACGCATAAAACTTTGAAGCCATCGACCTGTACAAAACCCGGCTTTAGAAACAGATTTCACAACAACACACACACATGATGACTAGATTTTACGTCCTTTGGGTTAAAAATTAGCAAGAGGAAAAGAAAGAGTAAATAGCAAGCTTACAACCTCTGGAGCCATCGCCCCGTCGAGAAATCATAGAGGGTCAAATCCACTAGCAAAAACAAGTTTCGTTTCTGGATGCCCCCGAAACCAGATTAGACGACGTCGGCTCGATCCCCTTATCCCCCCCCCCCACCTCCTCCGAAAAGTGTGGGCGACGATGAGGCCCTCAAGGAGAAGAAGCTCATCCCGGCGGAAATGCGAAATTCGCCCCCGACGCGCTCCCCTTTACGCGGCCCGAATCGAGAATCGAGGCGTGTGGTGGGCCGAAAATAGGGTACTTCTGGAGGGAGTACTAGGCGAAAAAGCCATCATCATCTGACTACCTGAGAACGAAGCGGTGGTTTTTCGGCAGTTATGACACGGAATTTTTGAGCGGGGTCAGTTTTGGCAGTTAGGTTAGAGCGTGTGTATACGCGTAACGTCTGAAGACTGCGAGAGAGACCCCAGGTTCTTACAAGGTCTATAATAATTTCTTAGGCGGCTCTTTAATCCCGACAATTCGTCAAAAAAAGACGAATTAATAAAAGACCATAAACTTTTTAGTTTTTAGTATCCACCAAAATCAAGTCTAGCCACCATGTTGTCGTCGACAAACTCCGGAATTTCCGGGTTAACCGGCCCTTTCCCGCCGACTTCCGGTCTATTCTTCCCAATTTGAGAGGCCGCTGCGACCGATTTGGTCCCGGTCAGCCGTCGCATTTTCTAAAATGCACCTAGGCACTGCGTGGTGTTGAATTGGGGGCTTTGTCCTGAACCAGCACCCCGCTTTTGCCGGCCACATGTGACTTTTTCGACATGGCACTGAAAAGGTCTCCCCTCGCGGGTGTTCCAAATAAAATTTCGCGGCGTTGAACTCGCTGAAAAACAGCTAGGACGGAGTAGAAAGGGGTGGAGGATGTAGAAATGGATAGGTGAAATGCATAATATTTTGATTCTTTTGGAGAACGTGTGAATCTGCCTTCTAAGGAAATTGATGAAGTCAAACCAAAGTTCGCACGCCAAGCTCCGAGTTCCGTTCGAATTCTCCCAGACGGCTTCACCAAGGAGGATGACCCAACCTACCTAGCGAACGCGTGACCGGAACTACCCTCGTGTTTTTCGCCAACCAAAAAATGGCGGCTTGTAAGAAGGTGGAAACCGCTTAGAATTTCCGGCCGATGCGCACCCCCGGCGGCTTAACCCGCGAGGCGATGGCCTAACACATTCGATGGGCCCTAAGGCTCCCTAAGGGCCCAGGCCCAGATTGAGTCGGGGGCCACACCACGACGACCCGATGGGGAACAAAAACGCGAAGATTGCTTCCGCCACAAATTCTTTCGCTCTCAATTTTACACCTCACAAACAGAAGGCCGGAATGGTTGGGGCTACCACATCATTTTTGAGGTCTGGTCCGAATTGGGGTAGC